AATTTTCTTGATTTGAGTAAAAAAATTCTCAAACTGAGAAATTTTTTTTCAGTGTATGCTTACATATATGTCTGCATATATTTTGGCATATACCTCTGCATATATGTCAGCATCTATGTGAAAAATATATATGTTGACATATTTTTTTTTTGCGTAAATATATGCGGCATATATATTATATATGCGACATATATATTTCTCCATGCGGGAGCGTTACTATCTTCCATGGATTGATTTAACTATACATATGATTTAAATTAATACGGAATTAAAGTTGTAACGAATGGAGTATGAGTGGCGGGCGTCGGAACTTGTGGAGGAGAATTTCAATAAATTCGAACGTAGTCAATTTATCCGTTCGGGAGCAAAATTAAAAATTGCGTTGAATCAACATACTAAAATGTTTAATTCTACACACTAAAATGTTAAATTCTACACAAACATTTTTACACTTTACACAATGATGAAAAATTTTTTACTGTGTGGGACATAATGCGGCCCTTTTCTTTATTACCATTTTTGAAACAAAAATTACGGAAAAATTCATTTATTTTTTTGTGGTAGATTTCATAAAATGTACCGAAAACTAAATAAAATTTACAGTAGACTATAGTCGTATACGGTGAAATTTGTTGAAAAAAATTATCTCACTTACCGACAAATGATTAGGTCGTGCCACTCGTCCCACGATTACCGTGAATTTAACGGTAATTTTTAAAGAAAATTTCTTTCAGTGTAGCTGTATTGATTCATTGATTGTAAAGAATAATTTTTATTTGAAAAAAATGGGGATCGGAAGCGAGCCGAAAATCGAACCTGAATTTCCTTGAGTACATGTCAGGAGCTTTTCCTTTAACACTTGAGCTACCGGCCTCCTCATCACCCATCTTTCTCTCAATATCACTCAAAATATCAATCTTAAAACCGGAGAGAAAAAGTTTTCAAAGTTTAATAGATTCAAATTTTATTCCCAAATCTATTTTTATACACTGAAACCTATTAAGATAATTGTTCCGCATTTTTGATTTGTACATTTTCGTTTTTTGCAACCATTTTAACATACTCCATGAGTTATCATGCACGCAGTTATTTCTGTCTGGATTGTCATGATAGATACATTCAGTTGACATTCGCGGTGGTTCACAGTATCCAAATTGGTTTAAGCATATGTATGTACAATGCAGGTCACCAATCAGTTGTTTCAATAATTTTTTCTGACTTGAGTTTCTAATGTAAATAAAAGTCGTGTACTTCAAGTAATCTTTCAGGATTTTTATGAATTGTTTATATTTCGTGGTACCACTTATCCATTCGATACCATAAATGTCATAAAAGTAGTCGTAAGTGAACTTATAACTCAGTTGCAGCTTTTCAAAATCTTTAAAAGGCGGTTTTACAACGTCGTAGAATTCATCACATATCTGACCCGAGATACCTAGCGAAAAAGCACTGAATTCTTTTATCATGTAGACGTTATGTATTATTTCATAACCTGAAAAATCAGCGATCACATGAATTTTTTTTCTCCATCGTTTATCTTCATAATTGGAATTTCGGAGCCAGTCTAACATACTTTCGGCATTGTCTTTAGCACAAATATTTTCTTTCCGATTGTCATGGTTGTGACACTCGGTTGATGTCCTTGGCTCGACAGAGTAACCTAAATCGTCTAAGCATATCAATTTGTATCGACTGTTGGGTTCACTCAAGTAATTTAGCAAAAGTATCTTCTGATTTTCATCGCGCAAGAAAGTACAGTCGGCTATCGCCATTTGAGTCTTTATATGTTTTCTTGTTGACTTAGCGTCATGGCTACCAGCTTCCCACTGTATTCCGTACCTTTGGTAATAGTTATTGTAATTTTTCTTAGTGTCTTCTTCTAAGTCTTCCCATAGGGACGATGGATACTGAATTTCACAATTATTTGATACTACTATACCGACTATTATAGTATACAAAGAATATTCTTTTATATTAAATGAAGATCTCGAAAAGTATCCGTTAAAATCGATGATTACGTTCATTGCAATATGTGAAAATTATCTGTATACTATTAGTAATATGACAGTTATTGCAACGCCTATCAATAAAAATTATGCCCCAATCAAATTTACAATAAAATTATCGATACTTATTTGAATTATTACATCATGTTATTATGACTCATTGCATCATCTTCCATGTGCCATCAATAAAATATTACATAATACATTTTTATGTCATATTTTTTTTGCCAAACTGACTTATCTTGAATTCCGATTAACCATCTTTTAGTTCTGCAAAGTAATTTTTTTCCCTCCAACCATCAACGTAATGATATTTGTAATGCGTGTAAATCTATTTGAATTAAGAGAAATAAATTCCATTTAAAATTTCACTTCCATTTCTCAACTTTTTGCTTTCAAGGTTAAAAATTCCAATTTCCTGAAATAAAAATTGAAAATTTCTCAAAATTCAGGACCTTATTGGTTTAGATTCATTTTTCGAAAATCGAGTTTTTCAACACAAAGAGACACCTGCTCTTTAAATGTTCGTCAGAATAGCATTCTGGAATCTTAGCATATCGAGATCTTACTAAACAAAATTTATTCCAATGTCAAATTACGTGTGAAGCGTCATTAAGCAAAATAAATAAGATAATTGATGCCAGATGTTAAATGTTGCCAAAAAGATAAGCTAGTTGCAGTAGTTTAATGTGAATGATTAGCGCTAGAAAAGTTATAAACTTAGCTCGATCTAATAATTTAACGGTTGATCTGTTGTCTTCATTAGGTGCAGTGAGATGCGCGTATGGGAAATAAAATTCCCGTGATAAGGTTGACAAACCAGATGGTATCGGAGTCATTACATTCGATAAGGAATGATATATACACACACACACACATATATATATATATATATATATATATATATATACCACATATATGTATATATGCATGAAAAATATATCAAAAATGCATGTGGGTACTCAAATAAAAGCTCTTGATGAGTGTAACATTAACACGAGCTTATATTTTTAAAAATATCAATAGTTTACCAGATACAAAGTCATTTCTTCATTATGTATCTAGACACAGAGGATTTTCGAATGCAACCTAAATTCTTCTTATAATGAATTGACAATTGTTGAGAATGATATGAAACCTTGAAAAGGCACAACTCCAAGCAAAAACCCATTTTATCACATAAATACACTGGCCACAAAATTTTCCTTATTCTCTTAATAATATAGATTATTATTATTTAATTATTATTGTTGTTTGAACTATTATTGCCTACAACATGACAATCATGTGGTTGCCCCAATTTTTTTTTCCGTGTATATATTATAGGAATCATTTCGAACTCACTCCGCACGAAGATTTTATCTTTATTTTATTTTGAGAATGATTCCCATAATGGTATAGGAATCATTCCTATAATATTATAGGAACCTATAATATTATAGGAATCTTTCCTATACCATTATGGAAATAGTTCCCATAATAATATAGGAACCATTACTATATCATTATGGGAATATTTCCCATAATATTATGGGAATGGTTCCTATAATTGTAAAAAAATCATTCCTATAATTATAGAAACCATTCCTGTACCATTATGGGAACCATTCCCATCATTATGGGAAAATTTCCCATAATTCTAGGAAAATTTCCTATAATTATGGGAACAGTTCCCATAATTCATAGGAACAGTTCC